GTTCAGGAACGCTCAATAATGCCGTGCAACTTCGTTAAAATTCCTAAATCAAAAAGGGATTAATGCCCGGCCACCTAACGGCCAGCATTACAATCAACAGAAAGTTGTCATCCATTGACGTACCCCTAACAAAAAACCCTATCTTGTATGCACACAAACGCCCAAGGCCTTCTAAGTTGGCTGAACTTAGAGAACTCCATGCCTCACAACCGCAGGACCTCGCCATGAGTACAGGGACCTGGTTAAACCTTCAGAGAACCGGTTCCGAGATCAATTTACCCAGTATGTTGATACTTCGGACCGATAGAACCGGAAGGGGTGTCGGTGTGCTTCTTTACTATAATACAACCCTCCGATGTGAAGTTATCGAGCACCCAGAAATCCTCGCTCCCCATTCGCTTTGGTGCCGCCTTTGGTTGCGAAACAAGGACACATGTCTACTGGCCGTGATTTATCGCGCACCAAACTCATAGTCGGAAATGGACTCCAAACTGAACCACGTTTCAGTTTGCTTTGAACAAGTCCTACACCCACATTCTTATCGCGGGAGACTTTAACGTGCACGACATAGAAACGCCGGCAACCGACGGTATGCAATTTAAAGCCCGCTTGCAAGAGCTAATTGATAGCCACCCTCTGTACAACCACGTAACCTCTCCCACCAAATTTCGAACTGCAAACAAGCCGTCGATACTGGACCTTGTGCTAACTAACGAAGAACTCATGGTTGATGAGATAGTTACAAGCACACCACTGGGTCGTAGTGATCATGTTACTCTACTCTTTAACTATTTATGCTATGCGGAGTACCCTGAAAAGGAAGATGATGAAGTGCACGCTGTTACACACTACAATGTCTTATCTCAGCTTGTTAAGGATACATCTTGGACTTTCTTAACCGAATGCCCCCCAGATGTTGTCTGGGAAACCTTTACAATGATGTGTAGCACACTGGTGGCGCACGCATCGGAACAGAAGCCCTTCCAACCCAAAAACAAACATCAGTCATTTCTGACGAGCAGAACACGCAAATGTATATCTCGGAAGGATTTGGCATGGCGAGATCACCAGGAATGCTCGAATGCCGAAACCTGGATTGCATACATGACACATCGTAACTTCTTTGTGAAACTGATCCGCGAAGACAAGGTCAAGCATCAGCAGGAGTTAATGAAGCGGTTATGCACGAACCGCAAACTCCTGTACAGGCACGTTAAGGGCCTTCGAAAGGTGAAGCGGGGGGTTCCAGCACTAGTCACGGCTGATGGGTGCACGCGATCCACAGTGGAAGCAGCTGATCTCCTACGGCTTCATTACTCCCAAACATTTCAGCAGGTAACGAACCCAAATATTCTCCTCGTTTCTATTACCCCACCGTCTGGTTTAGACAACATCACCTTCACTGCGCAAGCTGGATTGAAGAAGTTATTATGCTTGCATATCCACAGTTCTCCCGGAGCTGACAACATCCGACCGAAGGCTCTGCAGGCAGTAGCTAGTGATCTATCAGAACCACTGGCTATTTTCTATCAGCGATATCCAGAAAAGAACCATATTTCACCAGTACGGAAGCGCGGGGTCATCACTCCTAACCATAAAGGAGGTAGCCGCACTGACCTTACCAATTACCGTCCAATAACACTACTTCCTGTACTATCCAAAGTAATGGAATCAATCGTCGCAGATGCGCTGATGCAATACCTGGAAAGCCACTACTTAATAGCCCCATAGCAACATGGCTTTCGTCAAAAGCATTCGTGTAATACTAACCTACTAATTGCACGTAATAGCTGGACTGAAGCTATTGATGATGGAGCAGAAATCAGTGTCATCTTCCCGGATTTTTCAAAAGCATTTGATAGCTTCGACCATCGACTTCTTCTTCAGAAGCTTTGGAACTATGGCATTGGCGACCCAATCCTAAGTTGGCTTAGCAATTTTCTACATGAACGATGGCTAGAGGTTAGAGTTAGAGTATCATTGTCCGATGCTATCGATGTGGTGTGTGGTGTACCACAAGGCTCGGTGCTTGAACCACGTCTATTCGTTTTCATTGACGATTTGGGGGGACCAATTGCTTCCGACTTCCTATTTTCGCTGATGATCTCAAGATATGTGCGATCTTAACACGATGTCGAACTAGTCAGTTCAAAACGCCCTACCATGCAACTTAGACGAGTGTCGCGTTGCGCAATTACACCAAAGACATAACTGCACATATTTGCTTGGGGCAAACGGATTGCAGACCAGCTCCCTGGAACGTGACCTTGGTGTGCTCGTACAGAGCGGCCTTAACTGGTCAAAACAGGCTGAGGTAGCTGCGAAAAGAGTCAACCAGCACCTCGGCATGTCGCGAAGGGCATTCGGGAGATTTGGCCCATCAACCTTTTCAATGATGCACAATGCATACGTGCGCTCGCATGTTGCATACGCTATCCAATTTCGGCAGCCTTGGTTGAAACGCCACCTAGAGGGGGTTAGAGGCATCACAACGAAGAGTAACAGGGAATTTAAAGGGCCTGCGATATCACCCGTACCACCGAAAACTGGGAATTTTCAGCGGACGCTATCGAAGGCTGCGCGGTGATCTCATATTAGCTTATCAGATACTGAATGACCCCAACCACGTATGCTGCCATCTGCTGAAACTTAGCCACAACACGCAGCTCAAGGGTAACTGCTTAAAAATAAAGGAACAATATAGCTGTCTAGAGTGTCGACGTACTTACAATTCCCTTCGGGTTTGCCAACTCTGTAACACACTTCCAGACTCAGTTGTATCCTCCCCCTACCTTGGACATTTTAAAAAAACTAGATGTTGCGTTTAGCTTCCAACATTTTGTTACCTAATCTCTATTGGGGATTACGCCAAACATGCCTTTCTACAGGATTCAAGTATAAAATGGACCAAAGTGAGCGACCATATTTTACTTTTCTCACGCCTTATATCAACGGCCACTACACCCCAGTGTAGTTCGAAACGTTTACGCTCGCCTTTTTTAATTTTACACTTATTTTTATCAAAGTATTCATCTCGGCAGACGTTCGGTAGATGACGCAGATATATTTTGGTTTCCTCGTATTCACCACTACCATCCTACGGGGAGTGACAAGCACATGCTTTTATCCCGTGATAAATGATTGTTCATTGTTCATTGTTTATTGAATGCACCTTTGATCTCGAGGAACACGACAACGGTTAGTCGCTAGTATAGAGACTGAGACTGAGACTGTATTTAAGAGCAAGTAGAAAGGTTTCTGTACAACTCTATCGAAGTACGAAAAATCAAAATTTACTTGTGAATTATCAGCAGTCGTGTCTGGTCCGTTAATCGTTTATCCGTGTCCGGTTAGAAATTTGTACTAGCATCATTATTTCCGGACATACAATGTATTCTTTTGGCACTGTATGTGCATCGTTTCACAAAAGCACAGGTTTCCAAAATAATCGTCGATACGGGTTTTAAAACACTTCACAGAATCGGCCTCTATTAATCCTTCTGGTAGTGTATTCCATAAGTTTACGATTCTTCTTTCGATACAAAGCTGATGTGATACTTTGTTCATGCTGGGGACCCTGAGTTTGTAACGATGTCCTCGGGTGTTACAGGGTTCTCGCAGGTGAAATATTGGCCGTAGTATGGGGAAGTGATTCAAGTGTAGTACTCGATGGGTCATAATAAGATCAATTCTTACTCGGCGATAGGATAGTGTGTAGTGTCCGAGCTTTTCACAACGTTTTTCATATGGAAGCTTTCGTAGACTTGGTATCATTCTAGTTGCGATATGCTGTATAGTTGCGATATGCTGTATATATGTGAAGGTATATGTGAAGGTACTCCACCAACTGACACAAACTGAAGATGTGGTCAATGCAAACACGACCTCAACGAAACCCGGCTTGCTCTTCACGAATATGGCCATCGCAAGCGCCAGTCAGTCTGTGAAGGATGACAGAGGCAAGCAATTTGGAGGCGATGGAGATCAGACTGATTATGGTTGCCGCATTCCGATCGTGAGCCTTACTTGAAAATTGTGACTATGACAGAGCGGCTCCAGTTGGTTGGGACAGTTTCCTGCTCCGAGAGTTGCACTAGTAACTGGTATAAATCATCCACAAGAACAGGTCCCCCTAAGTTTAAGAGGGCTGGGGGAAGATCACCTGGTCCCACGGCTTTATTTAACTTCATCGGTGATATACTGTACAACAATTCAATGCTTGCTTCCCTTTTGGCAAAATGGCAATCTAGGTTAAGTGTCCATCCCTCATTATTGCTCACTTTTGAAGGTGGGCACTAAAGGGCGCTCGACTGTATCTAACTTCCTAAATTTGATGCCTTCAGTATCACGTGTGACCGGCTGCTCCAACTGCTTCTATGCTTCCATTTTGCAACCGTCCGAAGGCTCAATATCAAATTTAACTTCCATGAAAAGCTAGTTGACCTAGAACGTCGTGTTGTTTAAGCACGTTACAAATCACCTGCACTGACACACCTCTAAGAGGTTGGCACATGGCTTGTTTCATGTCCACGTAGTTCCCGTCGCTAGTCGGTGGCATCTCGGTTTAAGCTGTTTCACGTCAGGTGCTCACTTGGTGGCTACCCGAGCAGCCATTGGGTCAGTTGATGGGCAGTGGCTGTCGTTACGGTTTCTTGGCTGTCACTCGTTTGTGTGTTTCAAATTACACCACTATCCAATCGTGCGTAAGTGTCAGTAATGTGTAACAGCTGCCGTTTGAAATAAGCCACAGATGGGCAGTCACCCATTAACTCTGAAACCGTGCATGTGTTGTATTTGTTCGCTGACAAGCAGCGTTTCTCAGCCGCTACCAAGGTTTGACGTTGTGTTATTCTCCTTTTAACGCACATACAGTTTTTGCTACTTGCCATGTAACGTTGTAACAAAGGGTATCGGCTCCCCGTTGTGTGAGTAATCGACTTGGATACCCTACAGATCGTAGTTACTGTGGTCCTACCTACCTGCGTGAAACATTTTTTCAGGTATTCCCGGTGACGGCCATCCCATTACAAGGACCAATTGCCCCATTGTCGGGGGATTCCAGATACTTCGAACAACTTCAAGCGAAAAGCCTGGAGACGTGAGTGGACTTTGTCATCTTAATTGTTTGATTATCTGGTTAATGCATACTGCGAAACAATTGAACTATGGAACAATGTTTTATGATAGGGAAATATCAAAAGCTCAACATGTTCCGTAGGTTATTAGTGGAAGGAATTGAAAATTCAAATACTACATAGATGGACCAACTAAAATACTCCTCGGTGAATCTATAGGTAATGGTATAAAACTAATATGGTTGTTGAGATGATATGCCAACGGGGTAAAAACCTGTTACTGTTAATGACTATGGCAAATAACGATAGGCTTGCTCACTCGTCTGCATAGAATTATGTGCGTTACCGTTGCTTATAGATCCAAAGAAATTCGTTCCACTGAATATATCCTGACTATCCGTTCAATTCACCTTGCGTAGGGCGTTCAATTCGATATACAACCATGTTTTTTTAACATAGCAGGTGAAGGCACAGACGATAGGGTTTGGATGGGTGTTCCTGAGTTGGCAGACTCGAAAGGAGAAATAAGTTCATCGACAATCTAGACGACAGTATTGTTGACTTATTTTCGAGGTATTGCCTCTGCTGTTGGTGCTCGGTCTGTTTCGAAAGGTGGCAGCATCCTTGCCTGAGGTCACTCAGTAATTGGCGACATAATATGAGGTCACTTCATAGTTGCCGGTAGCGCTCACCGAACACTCTGGGTATCTTCAGTCGCTTCTGGTACGGTAGGTGGTGCAAACCCTTAACACTTGTAATTTCTCGACGCTGAGGGGTCTCGCGCGCTGCGAGATCACGATTTAGCCAAAGTTTCCCAACCTTGGTTGTGTATTCGACGTGGGAACGCGCCTTAACATCGAGCATCAGAGAGAAGGGGGATGAATCCAAACTCCCGGGTTCGCTCCGCAAGAAACCAACATACTGGTTACTTCTTTTGGATTGGACTGTGCCTGCTTGGAACAATGGAAGAATGGTTTATTACGGGTAAAAAAAGCATTGCTTAATAAGTCCCGTGGGAAGGAAATTGTTGCGAAAATCAATTGCATAATAAAGTGAAAAACGTTGTGGTGGACTCACCATAGACTTATGTGAAATAGCGGAGATGTTCGCGTATAAATCCATAAATCCATTGGTTAGGAGTTTGGCAAGACATGGTTTGATTGCGTTTTGTAGCCCCTGGCTAACAAGTCATAAAATGAAATGTAAGTGAGACAATGCATCGTCAACACGTTTTTTAAATATCGCCAGATTAGGAGCAGAGACGACATAATTAGGGAGGGCGTTCCAAAGCTCGCACACGCGGAAGAAAAAGCAGTTTCTACGGCATTCAAGCCGGCTATACTGAATTGTCAGTTTCAGAGGGTGACCTCTTAGTTTAGTGTTATGGTTCAATTCCAACAGCGGACGGCAAACATGGTTTGGGTTCTTCAGAATCTGGTAAACCATTATGCGATCCCCCAGCAAAAGCCGATATCGACTGCTGTACATTCTTGGAGATTTCAGTCTAATCTGATAGGGCAGATGAAAGAGGCCCCTGACGTTCTTTTTTGCCCGTCGTTGAGGAGTCTCGAGAGCAACGAGATCCTGTTTCTGCCACGGCTGCCACGCCCGAATAGCATATTCCACTTGAGGTCACACGTAGGCGTTAAGCATTTGTGGTAAATTAAGGGTTCAAACCGACCGAAGGCTCTGCGAAGAAGGCCGAGGTGTTGATTTCCGGTTCTCGTCGCCTTCTCTGCTTGTTTTGAACACCCGAGATCTTCCTGTACCAATACACCCAGGTCACGCTCCTGAGAAACCTTCGCCAAGGTGTGGTCTCCAATCTTGTAAGCGCTCACCGGCTGGTGACGCAGATGTATCAATTTGCACTTAGCTATGTTCAATTGAAACTTGTTCCTCCTTGACCATTCGTGAATGCAATCTAGGTCATGGAGCAGATCCTGATAGGGCTTGTTACCAATCGCCCGCCATATCTTGACGTCATCGGCGAAAAGCAGGAAGTTTGAGGAGATGACTCCTGCCAAGTCGTTGATAAACACCGGGAATAAGCGCGGTCCCACCACTGAGCCCTGTGAAACACCATATCCCATCTCAATCAGGTTAGAGAGTGATGCTCTAACAAGCACTTGACGCTTCAGTTGGTGAAGAAAGCTGTCAATCCAACTAAGAACAAGATCTCCGATTCCGTAGCTACAGCCTGTGAAGTAGGATGCGGTGATTCAACCGGTCGAAAGCTTTGGAGAAGTCCAGATAGATGACGTCGACTCCGACCCCATCATCGGCCACTTCCGTCCAACTACCTCGTGCAATCAATAGGTTGGTGGTGCATGACCGATGTTGACGGAAGCCATGCTGTTCCGGTACCAAGATATTGCATTTTTCAAAGTAGTCCATTAAAGCCTCGGCGACGACTGCTTCCATCACCTTCGCAAGCAACCGAAGTCATCCTGCACCAGCATACTCACGTCACGTTCCGGAAAGGTGGTCTACAGATAGTGTGTTCCATGTTTGTAGATGTAGGTGTATCGATGCCGTAGGTGGATAACTCGGCACTAGTCCAAACTGAATGACAATGCATTCCTCACCGATCAATGACGTCTCAACCAGGTCGCACTGGTACCTCTTGTGGTGTTTCAATAACTCGATCACCCGCCCAAGCTTAAATCCTCCGGGTAGAGTAGATATTTTAAGGTGATCACTCTCACTAGCTCGTTAAAAAAACGGAAGTAAAAGCGGGACTAAATACCTAACCCTAGGTACACCACATCCCGCTCGAATCGCGTCGGATGAAGGTGCCCGGACTCCAAACTCCAATTACTTTACATGGAGAAACTTACCGATCCATCCTAGGTACCACAGGACCACTGTAGTAACCTGGAGATTCCCTCGTATGACTGTGTAAACTATTCTAGAATATATTAAAATTATAGCTTTATTATATATTAGGGAATTAGGCGGTTTGCCTGTTGGAATATTGTTCCCCGTTGTTTAAAAGACGAACAGGACATCCGCCTTTGGCGCAGGCGACTGGACTGCGAACGAGGCTCCGTCCACGCACTCGACGCCCAAGTACATCCTCCCTAGCTAGCTCTCTCCTGGTGCAATATTTTTGGCATTAGCTAGCTCTTTTTCCGTTCAGTAAACTTTTTCCCTAGCTTAACTTGTGTGTGTCCTGCCCATTGCCTTTGGTTGGCCGTCTGTTCTCGTACTGGATATATAGCGCACAATCATCGCGATATAATTGGAAATACCGACGTGACACGAATACGCAAACTTCTGACTCCAGATCAAAAGGAATACATACATGGCAAAATGAACAGCTAATTATTTGTAAGGATTCTGGGGATTTATTAGGATTTTGGGCAGGTTCGTCGCAGTTAGACACAGACAAACAGCTACTACACATCCAGTCCTGTGAGTTCTACGAACCAGTCCTGTGAGTTCTACGCGGTAACTCGATTTTTTGGCGTACCATACTGATCGAGCTTTTCAGCTGAAATAACGTGGAAAACAGTGCTTGAATAAACACTTAAAACGAAATCTGACTATTGTCAAATTTCCTCTGATCCAAGAAATCTTGGATCGATTAAATTGGTACTGGCCCAAGCGTCTTTGACGCTTACTGGTAATTTTTCCGGTTGTTCCCAGTTTTAATCCCGTTTTACACCCTGTTTTTGCCTTTTTATTGCGGTCGTTTTCCTATTGTATACGTGTTGTTATTCTAATCTGTTTTCCACATGAACATGGCTGTCTCGCTAAACGCCGAGACGGATGGACCTATGGGGTCCTCGTTTGATGAGTCTACTGCAGTTTGCGGACAGGTTAACTGTTCAGAGCCAGTAACAGATGCATCTGGTGGTATGCAGTGTGACGTCTGCTGCCGCTGGTATCACGAAAGCTGTACCGGCCTACAAGCTGACCAGTACCAAATGCTATCATCAAGCGTCCACTTTCTTTTCAGCTGCGCTGAATGCTGCGCTAAAAGATCGACGCGCCCGGCTGTCACCGGTGCTAAACTTTCAGCGTTGGCTTCAAGGTTGGCAGATGTTGAGTTGGCGATAGCTAAACTCGCCTCTATTGCGTCGCTCGATACGAAAATGGATTTAATTTTAAAATCCCTAAATATTTCGTTTGAAGACACAGCAATAGCCGGCAACATTGCTGACGATCCATCCACTGGAGTCTGTCACTCGATCATAAAGTCGCACATCCTACCGGCCAATCCAGGTAGCATTGCTGGCGGTCCTCATGATCCGATCAGAGTGAAGAAAAATAGGGTGCGGAAATACCAAAAGCCCTCTGCTAAACCCAGAGAAATAGTTGCCACGGCATCGAACGAGATGCCGTCTTTGACAGTCGTAAAGTCGTCTGAAGATTACACACAGAACTTTCCACAGACGCTGACTGTCTCGGCCGCCAGTGAACCAGCCTGTTCTGACGAAATGCTGGTAACTGCCCAATGCGATACAAAGTCAACGGCCCCTGCTCCAGTGAGCCAAAAGAAGAAGCGGACAAGATCTGCTCGTAAAACTTCGAAGGGGCTTGAAGACCCTGGAACCAGTAAGACGCCGGCAATAGAGCGGAAAACCTACGCTACCGTTGCTTCGGCGTCGTTTGGGAAGCCAGCGACAGTCCCACCGCCAGTGGTGAAAACAGCTGGTATAGGTGTCGTATCAAAGGCACGTGGGGTAAACACTCCCCGTCGTGCCGACTCTTTCACCGATAGTAGCGTTATATTCCGTAACGTTACTGAATCTGAGGCTGTTCTCCCAAGGGAACGCATCTTGGATGACATCAAGTGGCTGAAACTGTGTGTCAGCAAGCTGCTTCCACCTGGTTTCCCTGGTGTCACTGTCAGAAAGCTGACCAGATTGGGGAACGTTCCTATCGCTACGCCAAATCCACGACCCCGACTACTTCGCGTAGTCCTTTCTACCCCGGAGGAACGCAAATCGTTACTGCGATTTGCATTCAAACTTAAGGGTAGTGGTGTCAGCGTTCAGCCGGACCTCCCACTGGCAGA